TGTAGATGTAGATGTAGATGTAGATGTAGATGTAGATGTAGATGTAGATGTAGATGTAGATGTAGATGTAGATGTAGATGTAGATGTAGATGTAGATGTAGATGTAGATGTAGATGTAGATGTAGATGTAGATGTAGATGTAGATGTAGATGTAGATGTAGATGTAGATGTAGATGTAGATGTAGATGTATGATGTAGATGTAGATGTAGATGTAGATGTAGATGTAGATGTAGATGCAGATGTAGATGTAGATGTAGATGTAGATGTAGATGTAGATGTAGATGTAGATGTAGATGATAGATGTAGATGTAGATGTAGATGTAGATGTAGATGTAGATGTAGATGTAGATGTAGATGTAGATGTAGATGTAGATGTAGATGTAGATGTAGATGTAGATGTAGATGTAGATGTAGATGTAGATGTAGATGTAGATGTAGATGTAGATGTAGATGTAGATGTAGATGTAGATGTAGATGTAGATGTAGATGTAGATGTAGATGTAGATGTAGATGTAGATGTAGATGTAGACGTAGATGTAGATGTAGATGTAGATGTAGATGAACGGGACCGTGAAAACACCCCTGGCGGCTCCCCTTGGGGGTGCTGAAACCAGCGCCCCGCCTGTGACATCCTCAAAATCTGCTCTGATAGCCAAGGATGTTGAGTCAGAAAACAGGCAAACCGCCTGAGACATCCCCACAAAATTGCTGCGAACGGGACCGTGAAAACACCCCTGGCGGCTCCCCTTGGAGGTGCTGAAGCCATCGCCCCGCCTGAGACATCCTGACAATCTGCTGTGTGTTGAGTAAGTCAGGCAATGAGAAGGTCTGAGTATGAGTAGGTCTGAGTAAGAGTAAGTCTGTGTATGAGTAAGTCTGGGAACGAGTCTGAGTATGAGGAAGTCTGGGTATGAGTGAGTCTCAGCATGAGTTAGTCCGAGTATGAGTGAGTCTAAGTATGAGTCGGTCTGCGTATTAGTAAGTTTGCGTATGAGAAAGTCTGGGTATGAGCATATCTGAGCATGAGTAAGTCCAAGTGGGAGGAAACGAGCTGTACCGCAAAGAATGTACACGAGTACGAGTGGGAGTGGGTATGACTATGACCGGGTATGGATTTGAGTGGGTGTGAGCTTACTGTGTCATGAAGAAGTCTGAGTATGATTAGGTCTGGGTATGAGTAAGTCTGTGTATGAGTAAGTCTGGGTATGAGGAGGATGAGGAGGAGGAGTAGGAGGAGAAGAAGAGGAGGAAGGAGTAGGAGGCGTCAAAGTAATAACAAGAACCCCATCTTAAGATATGGGGAATAAAAAACAACGGCATGCCCAGGAGGTACAGAGTCCACGTGGCCAGGAGATCCACAAACCTGGCACCCATGGGAAACTGCAGATAATTAAGAACACTTGCGGTGCCCCTGATGTTGCAAAAAATGGCGCGCCCAGTGGGTCCAGAGGCCTGGTGCCCAGGGCATGGGGCAGGGAAGAGAGGAGGCGGAGGACGAGGAGGAGAGCGACGATGCCATTGAACCCACCACAAAGATGGTATCCCGTCGTGGTCGGTGGTTCCCCTCGCTCATCCTCCTCCTTGTCCTCCTTTTCTTCCTCTCCCCTGCCGACCTACCACACAGACAACGACAACCGTCGACGACGACGACGACGACGACGACGACGACGACGACGACGACAGCGACGGCGGCGGAAGAAACCAAAAGACGGCCAAAGACAGCGAAAGACGGCGAAACACGGCGGGGCCGCGCCTTGCCCTCCGCCAGCACCCTCAGGAGCACGCGCCCGTCCAGGTGCACGTCGGCGTACTCGGCCGCCTGGCATACCCGGCGGCGAGGGCGACCGCTCCCGCCGCCCTGGCGGCGACGGGAACGACGACAGCGGCGGCGACAGCGGCGGCGGCGACGACAACGGCGACGTCGGCAGCGGCGGCGAACACCACAGCGGCGGCGACGACGGCGGCGACGGCGATGCCGCTGGGGAGCGAGGAAAGGAGGACGGGAAGGGCGACGGCGAGACCGACGGGGGGAAGGGGGGCGAGGGCAGGGGGAAAAGGGAGAAGGCTGTGTAAGAGTGACGGCCGACGCCCAAACTGACACGCTCTTCGCACAATTTCCTAAGCGAGCCCGGCAGGCGAGTATCAGCAGCAAGCGTCCGCATCTTCACTGGTGCCACGGTTCGGCCTCCGCCCCTGAAGAAAGATCTGAACAGTTTCCTAGGGTCGCGCAAACCGAATCACTGGAAAGGAATGCCCCCTTGTCGCACATCGCGTTCGTCTTCGCAAAAGCTCGACCACTGCAAAAGAGCGCCTCGTCGCCCTCCCGGCTTGGCTCATCCCCTGTCTGTCGAAGAGGAAGTGGCCGCAACGGGCAGGGGGGAACTGCAGAAGTGGCAGGGGTGACGCCGACTTGTGATGTAAGGAGGTCCTTGAGGTCGGTTCACCGCGCGCACTCACCCACGGCCGTTTTCGTCACCTGGCGGGAGACCACCGCCCCAA